TTCGCCTGCAGTTCCCGGCCAGGCACCCAACTCACCCCCGCGGACCTTTGGCCCAGCTACTACCTGTTTGGATTCCGACGGGGACTCCTGATCCAACAATGGACTACGGCACACACACAGGCATAGCAGCTCGTAGTATAGGCAGAAATGCCTTGCCCGTAAAGGCGAGGGAGGCTGGAAGGATCATTTCTGGCTTATTAGCCGTCATCAGCCAGTCATACTCAGACCAAAGTGACGCCCCACTCGAGCCTTGAACTCGGGACCTTTTGATTCGAGTCAAACGCCCTAACCATTGAGCCACGAGCTAGTTGTCTTGCCAGTTTAGGTCGGAAGGTATTGACACTCGAGGGACGCTCATCAATCATATTAAGGGACACACTCGTCCCGGAACGCCTTGGGGCTCAATCTAGATTCCCACCAGCAGCCACATAAAGACCGATACTATATGCAGAATAGCACTACTGACTAAGGAAAGGGAGACTGTAGCGGCCATTATCAATAAACCCAATTGCAACCTAAAAGAAAACGAGTCCGTAGCCCAATGGTTAGGAAATTGGACTGCTAACCAACAGGTCATGGGTTCGAGCCTCAGGGGTTTGGCTAATGACTGATAATCAAGCAGAAATGGCCATTCCGGTCGGCCTCACTTTTTTCGCCATTCCGCCTAAAATTCTGCTATCACTATAACCTATTTCACGCATAAGTTACTGTTCTTACGCCCACTATTCTGTGAGAAACCCCATGGATGGCCGGAAGAGGCATGCCTTACTCGCTCGGAAGTCAACTCGCAGTCATTTTCCAGCGTTTTAAAGTCCACAGTTTCAGTAACAAGAGGACATTAGTTCAGTATTGTTCACTATAAAGCTGGCAAACAAGGTTAACAAGACCCAGACGTCATCACTTTATAGCGACTAGTACGCCAAGTCCGAACGCCACTCTCCGGTCCTTATCATCGCCGGGGACAACTGCACCTCAGCCACTCGCGCAAAACAAGACGTCGCAAATGGACCACCCAATACAATTATTGCCGGAGCAGGAAAGGTATAACTGTTAACCCATACAGCGGGTATTCCAACGTCTTTTTTTTAGTGCAGAATAAAGTTGCGTACAAGAACACACGACTTCGCCTAGCACGAACGACTATTGGTCAGCGCCGACTGTCGGTCCTACTGGACCCGACGCCTCGATGACAACGGCGTAGGGGCATCACAAAACTAACGCCCCTGACTACATATGATTCGGAATGGCTTAAGCGTCGGAACGAGAAATTTTAAGGAAACAGAACAGGAACCCAGACAAAAATAGCCAAATAAACCGGTCAGGATTTCGATGAAAATGCTTACGCCTAGAGGAAAATGTGCTAACAACTAAAGCGTGCACACCAGTAATCTAAAACAGTTGACTTACGACTTCATACAGTACCCCACCGAGGCAAATAAGCCACAGGTGTTAGATAATCTGAAGCATTGAGTACAACCGACAGACTCAACCGAGAACGCAATAACGGGCGCGAGAAAACACGATACCCGTCATTAAAACATCAGTATCGGTAAAGGCGTAAATCTTTCCCCTCAACGGAATCGCTCCCGGAACACTAAACGACAGACGCCACTACCTTAACCAGCTAATGTGGAACATTAAATACCACCCGTAAAAAGCTTGTGAAAAGGCCAACCCAAGAAACTAACACAAAAAAATCTACCATATTTCTACTGATAAATTACAGTTACAGGTAGATGAAAATACTGAAGTTAAAAAACACTAGCTGGGCATCACATGGACTTTAATCCAATAAAAGATAAACTGTACAGGTAAAAAACGACAGGTTTACGCGTTGCCGTTAACGGTCTTCCATGTAGCTCGAGATCTCCATCACGTCCGGTAGTTCACTGATATTCACCTCGAAGCGGTTTTGAACATCATTTAGTATGCTGGCGTCGTGCTCATCCGATATAAATGTAATAGCCAAACCTTTTGTTCCGAAACGTCCTGCTCTGGCAACCTAAATTTCAGCCTGGTTAGGATAACGATTTCTCAAACCCTATGCAGGTAGGTGTCGGAATCTTCAGGCATGTCGTAGTTGAAGACAATGTTCACGCGCTCAATATCCATTCCACGACCAAACAGGTTGGTTGCAACGAGTATACGCGACTGGAAATTTTTAAAGGCCTGGTATCTTTTCAGGCGCTCTTCCTGGGTCATAGCACGGTGCATAGCAATGGCAGGGAAGTTTTGTTCGACAAGTAGTTGGGCGAGCGCCATGCAGCGTTGGACGGACTTGACGAATATGATGACCTAAGAGAACAACAGAGAGCGTTAAGCGAAGTAAGTCAGACTGCAGTTTAACGCATATGTACGTGAAGACACCACATCAGTATTAGCATAGCAAACATCACACAAACCTGATTGAACTGCAGTTCATCTAATAACTCGAAGAGCTTCCTGTTCTTTTCGTTTTCTTTCACTTTGACATAGTGCTGCCGGAGACCGTGGAGCGTCAACTTGGATTCCGTATCGATGAAAATCTCCAGAGGCTACAATGAAAAAAAGAGATTGATTATGAAGACCTGAAAACATGTGTGCCATAGTCCAGGAAAGGCTTTCGGATCCTACGTAGCTACTCGCGTGGGATACGCCTAACGCTGCCGGTCAGGGAAGGCCTCGACGACGGCTGCACACCATCTTCGTTCACCCTCCGACAACGACCACCAACGATGCTCTTTCTGGTCCCGAAAAGACGCACTTGGAATTGTGCCGAGTGACGTTTGCAGAACAGTTGACTCTGATGTCGGACAACTTATGGATTGGTTACAGTTGGGAGGAACAGTGGGGCTGGACTAGTGGGCACTATGTTGTTGTGGTGGTTCAATTAAATCCACCACCTTTCCATCAACGTACGTCTTGCATAAAGCTTCGGCAAACAGGTCGAATTTCTTTGCTCATTGTTGCGCTGAACATCATAACTTGTTTTTGATGCGGCGTCATGCGGAAGATTTCCTGAACGTCACGGCGCATATCTAAGTAAAGATAGACCATTATAAATAGTGCATACCCAGAGTATCTAGCATTTTGTCACATTCGTCAATTATGAAATGTTTGACATTGTTCAATTTGAGGGCCTTATTGCGGACCAAATCCAGGATACGACCAGGTGTACCAACCACGATGTGGACACCCTTGGAGAGGGTCTCAATGTCCTTGCGGATCGGCATTCCTCCAAAGAACACACCAACCTTTGAAAATGATAGATGAAAGCTCAGATAATTACCTTTATTTTGGGCATGTACTTCGAGAAGCGTTCATATTCTTTGCTAATTTGAAAGGCAAGTTCCCGGGTATGACACAACACGATGACACGAACTACGGGCTCCTCTTCGGCATCCAGTTGCTGGAGTGTCGCAATGACAAACACAGCAGTTTTCCCCATGCCTGACTTGGCTTGGCACAGGACGTCCATGGACAAAATCGCCTGTGGAATGCATTCGTGCTGTACCTCCGAAGGACCTTCGAAGCCACAGTCGACGATTGCGCGGAGGACTTCAGGCTTCAGGATGAAATCACGGAAGCCAGAGCTATGTATCGTAACGTAGGCACCCTGCACACCTTTCTTGGCTTGCAAGTCACCATTTGGCTTCGGTTCCTGCACGGTCTCCTGCTCCTCGTCATCATAATCCAAAAGCTCATTTTCATCAGCCATGTTCTGACCCTACAAATTGGTGCGAAGGCATCGAACGTTGACCAAAGTGACACGAAGAGACTCACTGTTGTTGTTTCTTGAGGAATGGCTACCGAAAGGACCGCAACGATTCAAACAAGCGTGTTATTCAGTTCAACTTACTACGAACGAGCAAATTTAAAACTTAATGCAAAAATTGTATGCCGTGTTTTTATGTAATTTTATATACACAGGGTACCGAAAATAACTATATAACGGAATGTTATTTCCTTAGTTATATTTGTCGGCTGAACAACAAAGGTATGCTTTGCTTACTGTGCCGTTCAGTATCACTATATTCGAGGTAAATGTACGTGGCTGACCTCTGAGTTCCCGGTGTGTTACCACCGTCCTACTGCACTTCTTGTAGAAGCTCCAAGGCTTAGCTGTGATTTGGAGTCCCTTAAAAAACAAATACATCGAAATCGAGAATTCAGAACTTTTAACTGTTTGAAGGCTGAGTACATACGAGGATCCCATAAAGTGTGGGTATTGATCATTTTAATTCTTTGCTTTTGAATATACTATGCTCTCCATCAGTTACAATATCTGGAGACGACTGAGTCTGTCAGTTCTAATGTCCTTCTGTTGGAAAACTATTAATGGTAACTTGACTATTAACACTGGTATATTATTTATTTATTTCTACTAAGAACTGGATTGTCTTCAAGCATAAATCAGACATTAGAATGTTAAACAGAAGCAAACAGGAAGGTTACCGAGATGATATGGAGCAGACCGACAGTCCACAGGGGCTAAAATGTGTACGTCGAGAGTGAATAATCACAGAGAAACCGAAAAACCTTACATGCAATACAGTCGAAAGTCCTGCCTAATGTTGACCCCAAACTGAGAAGCTGGAAATGCCTAGTGCTATATAGCTTATTTAATATATGCAATGGCTTTTTTACCGTTTAATTTAGTTTTCCTAACGTTTGAAGTAATTCATGACCACTATTAAGGGAAGGCATGCTGCCTGGGAGATAGAAGTCTGTACACTTATAGACTGTGGATAAACGGTCACATACTACTTTCCCCGGCTTTTTTAGTCTACAGTGGCAAAGCTGAGCCGTATAGTTTCGAACTTTGCTGTCTAAATCCTCTTTCACGGAAGCGACAACC